GGTCGCTGCCGCGCATAAGCCTACATTCCTGCAATTCTTCACACTTGTTGCCTGTCCCTCCCTGGACGGTTACATTTGGATAGCACGGATGTGGCTGTCGTTGCAGCAGCGTATCTACCAGCCTTTCAGGCGCTGCACCATGGACAACGACACCATAGACAAGATGCATACGACCAAGCTGCCTTTGAAGGGCAAAGAATCCTCATTCTCTCCCATGGTCATCACAAATCCAGCACTCATCAGGGTTTGGTAGATGCTCGTGTGCAGGGCTGTGAGACTGGCTCTTTGGGCTTGCGCACGAGATGTTCACGTGACGGTAGTCAAAGTTGGGAATACAAAGAAGAACGTATTCGGGAATGATTATCGTGTTCGGCTGTTGGATACGCCATCAGAAGACTGGACTCCCATGCTGAAACGTCGCATCAACCTTGTTCTGGACTTCACTCCTGGAGGATTCTCGTTTGACCGCACAGAGTCCACGCTGCAGATTGTCGAAGAAGTCATTGCACCAAAGGGGCGCTACGTGGGTTTTTTGGGTGAAGATTGCTCCAGCCACGCTCTGGATTGCCGTGAGGAAGGTCCTTTGGACCATAAGAAGCAATCTGTGTTATTCGAAGGCCTTTCCTTTTTTCAAGGCAAGAAAGACTGCAAAAGCAACACATTTCTACCAGAAGCCAGAGATATCAATCATGCAGTGCAGTGGACGACAATCTGCATGAAGTTGAAACGTGCAAGTTTGTTTGACTTTGTCTATAACTGGAAGCAGGATCGGCGATTGGCAGAGCGGGACTTTAGTTTCTTACTCGAGGTTCTTGCGAAGCGACAAATCCGTCCTTACATTTCAAGATCTTAGACGTGAATGATTTCCCAGCCATCAATTCTTCTCAGCATCCTCGGGGCAGTCGTTCCATGAGCGGAGCAATCGTTTGTGAGCCCTGGAGCCAGGTGAAGGACATTGATGACCTGTCCTGCTGCTCGGATCTGAGCTAAACGACACGGTTAGAGTGATCCTTTGCGGTGGTAATCGGCGGTAATGTGACATGTTGGATGTTGTCGTCAGGCCAGATTATCATCGGCATCAGCCAGTCCTATGTCAGCGTTCTTCCATGGATATTTCTCCTTTGTAAATCTATCCAAGCAGTAATCAATGTCAGATATGCTGAGTGACAGTCTAGGTCTAGCTTTTTAACTATCAACAGTATCGCATTCTATCGTGCGGTAACCCTTGCATCAAGGCCGTTTGATAAAATCATCATTTACGCTATTAGGTTATGGATCAAAGTTATGCGTATTTGGATAGGCGGTTGCCAGTATAGGCATACAAGCAAGGACGCCACTGAATCGAAGAAGAGAGCATGGATTTGTTGAAACTGCAAAGTAGATTTGTCGCACAGAGTGAGTCCTCAGGCAGCAAGCAACATCCGGTTGTAGGGTAGGCTATGCAGCTTCTTCTTCGTTCGGTTCCACCTTTTCACTGAGCTTCACCCTTGTACCACCGGATACATTCATGATACCGTGACGAGCCTTGGCTGGAACCCAGGTCATCAAGAAAGGGGTTGATTCTCTGGATGCGTTGATCTTTTCACTCTTCCAGCTTCCAAGAGGCTCAAAGTGTGCAGGGTCGATTCCTGCGGCAGTAGTCGGACTTGCAAATTCCTTCCTTGTTGGTCGATGATTTTTCGACTGGTGGAGCGAGAGTGGCAACGAGGCCGAAGGCAGCATCACGGATGCAAGATGGTGAGAAAACAACCGCCGCGGCAACAAAGAACGCTCGACAATCCATCAACCGACTTACTGAAACCTTCAACGAAGGCAGCGGCCTCGACCAGCACCGAGCAGCCTGCCTAGAAACCCTACTTGCACTGGTTGCTACTCCTGTCATCGTGGTCTTTTGAGCTCGTTGTAGCCAGACAAAAAACGACTGGTTGCTAACAATGCTACATCGTTGGTGTCATGCGGGCAGGGCGGTACAGAGAAAAATCAACCTTCGCTTCTTCTTCCGCATCCGACCTCTCCCTTGCGGAACCTAAAGCAGAACCGGTACACTATGCTTCTTCTGAGTCTATCATAAACGACAGCTTGATTCATCATTCGTGATGGACATACATTGTCGTTTCAGGTGTCATTTCCGACCTCTTGGATATTTTTCGCACGAATGAAGAGTGCCACTTCCGTGAGTAACGGTACGGGACGTGCCCTCCCGGAGCTGTGTTCAATCAACTAGTAGCGCCACAGAGCGAGTGGAACTCAACACTGAGTACGTCTTCGTACAATAGTACCGTACTACTACCCCAAAAACCACCGGAATTTTTCTGGTGGCACAACCAGCAGAGCTGCTAACTATATACCGTATGGACTTATTAAAAGCAGCCAGTCAACAACTACATGCCCATGCATATGGATTACTAGTTGAGTAACAAACACCATAAGATGCTATAATAGTTATTGCTACTATCTAAGATCCATAATACTTGAGAGCTTGTTCCCAGCCAGGGTTGCTAGAAATGTTCTGGCTGGGAGCCAAACATAAGCCATAGACAGATTCCATCATATAGTTGATTGCTCTGCGCTGGCATTCAAAGGCTCTCAAGTCCTTGTTGATTGTTTTCATATTTCTTCTGTCCTCACTAGTAACATCAAAAAGTTTTACCAGTCTTCTTGTTTGTTGCTCAAGAATTGAAGCATAGTTGGGATTGTCAGTGGGCACTGCAGGAAGTGGAGCCCCCAAAGCCATGTACTGCTGCAGATTTTCAAAATAGCCTTGTCTTCCAAGAGGTCTCTCAGCTTCAGGAACCTTGATGGAAGGATAGCGAGTATAGAAGGTGGAATCTCTGTCTTGCTTCCGCTTGAGCTCGGCTGCCTTGGCATGTTCTATCCACCTGTCTCCGTCAGGTCTAAGTGCTGTCATTCCAGCTCGCTTCCACGACTGCTTGTTCTTGTCTCGAACAACGTAGGCTCCATCCCTGTGAACTGATGACTTAACTTCTAGAATGTAGGTTCCATCCTCCTGTTGGATACACTCACCCACCAGAGTAAAGTTGGCAGGATCAGATAGAAGATTGTCAGTTTCATCCAGACATTCCAAGTCCTCATGAACATGGCCTGCCATCGCGAGAAGAGCTGCCATGTGACCATGCCTGCGAGCCTGAAACTCCCAGCACCAGCATCTCTCTTTCTCCTCTGGCACTCGAATACTATCGACATGAGAATCCAACCTCGTTGATAGGAGTTTCTGCAATGAGTCAGCTCTGTCTAGCAAAGCCTTGTCAATTGTTGTCGGTACAGTCAAACCAAAGATGTCACAAGCCTCTTCTCGGAATTCAGAGAGATTGAGGAAATGAGATCCAGTTAAAAAGTCACAGGAAGCAAACCTTGTCCTCCTTGATTTGATAGCTGTAGCTTGCGAGTATCTTTCCATTGCGGGATTGCTGAGGTCCAAGAGCTCCTGATTCTTTGGCTCTTCTAGAAGGATTGGCTTGGATCGAATATCAAATGCCATTTCAATCAATAATTTGTTGCCTGTTGAGCCACTTGGGAGAACATCAGAGATATCTCCTTTTCGGGGCCATTTCCAACGTTTTGGGGTCTGAATCGTAGGGAACAACCGGACATGAATAAATGACTGTAATTCTCCAGCTAGCGGTTTTTTGAAGCATGCCAAGTGAACTGAAGAGATAGCAGCCATATCAGACTCTTTCAACACTTTCTCCGAACAAAGCTCACTGGATTTCAGCAATGTCCTGTAGTCGTTCACAAGTTTATCAAACTTTTGTTTGGCCTTGGCTTTGGCTTCTACCAGTTTTGCTGCCCGTAACTCCACTTGGTGCTCATGAGTGAGGCATTTGGCTCGCTGCATTTGTTCTTGACTAATGCCTTGCTGTTTGAGTACCTCCTCTTCCTCGTAGTTTTTGTCAACTTGGAATTTCAGCTCATCAAACACAGTTTCTTCAACATGACCCTTGTCATAAACCTCCTGAACCAAACGGGGCAAGTTGTCTTTGAATAGATCAATGAGAGCTTGAGGGTAGTGATTCATTCCCAGAGTATGTATTATTCCATACATTGATGGAAAAGCATACTCGGTATGCCTGCTCTTTCCCAGCATGCCAACTTCAGCAAAACCAGCAGAAACACTCTCAGTATTCACTGCTTTGGTAGCATTCTTGGGATAGCAAGCAATGAAATCAACACAAGCAGCATGCTTGTGAGAAGCTAGATTGAGACCCGCTTGTTCCTTTGCCTTGTCAAAGACATCAACAACAGAGTCCTTGTAATCACAAGCACCCTTTTCAACATCAATCATGGTACACTCCTTTGAAAGAAAATGCATGTACTTGAAGATTGGAGAAGCATCACACGGTTGTTCTGCAGCCGACCGTGCTGCTGACTGTTTGTTGACAATAATCTTCAAATCATTCAGTTTTGCAATCATACTTGGATCAACAGTAGTTGCAAGCTGAGCCATCTCTCCATCTAGCCACGTGACAAAGGTCATGCTGTCAGGAATTGGGGTGCCTGGTTGCCATCCACGTCGTTTGCGAAGACACGACACAAAAGGAAACAAGCACCTATCCACAAAAGCTTCGACTTTGACTTTCTCAGTAAGTTTGTCGTTGTCATTTCTAACAAACATCACAAAACCGACCTGTTCTTCAAAGGCGGACACACCGCCGCCACCAACATGAAGACCTTCAATTTCTAAAACCAAAACGCCGGATGGGCATTTGTCCTTTGGCAATTCTCGCTCTGTCAATCCAGTAGCAGAAATCCACACTGGTCCGTTAGTACCTGCAGCTGTCATAATATGGGTGACTTTGAGTCTCATGCCCGTTGCCACAGCAGATGCTTTTGATTTCTTAAACAGAGACCTGACACTAAGTTTCAAATTGAAAGAAGTCAGAGCAGTGAAAACAGGTTGGTTTTCTGAATCTCTGTTCTTCCCAGGAACAGCCCATTCCGTTGTATCATCAATGGAAGCCAGGTATCGAGTCTTGATAGGACACAAGTATGAGTTCTGATTCAATTGGCTAGCAACATCATAGAGGAACTTTTGATTCCATAGTTGGTGATTCTCATCAGTAATCTCTAATAAATAATCCTCCACCTTCGCAACTGGCTCTGATACAACTCTGTAGTGGGTAGCAATAAGTTTCTAGAAGGATCAGTTCCAATACCCAAGTAGTGGACTGGATCTCGCTGAAACCCTTCCTCAGGGACAGCGGTAGTCAGGCAGTTCAGGGAGCCTTGTCGTGCCTCAGGAGTA